CTAAATGGCTTCGTCTCGTCTGGCAGGGCCAGGTCAGGGGCCTCTTGGAGACTGGCCTTGATGCTGTCAAAGGCATCTGGGTTTTCTTGCTCCTAGCGCCAGTCGACGTCCTTCTGAAGGAGGCTCGACAAGGGCTTAGCGAAGCCCGCGTACCCTGCGCTGTACTTGTGAAGGTAGTTGGCCCAGAGGGCCCAGAAGGATCGAAAGCACTTTATCCCAGAAGGATCGAAAGCACTTTCGATCCTTCTGGGATCGGGGCGTTGGCCATGCTGCAATGGCCTTGACCTTGTCTGGGTCAGCCCGAACGCCTACGTTGCTTACGAAGCTACCGAGAACCTTAATCTCTGGTGATGCGAAAACGCACTTGTCAATGTTGGCGCAGAGCTTGTTCGCTCGCATCACGTCCAACACTAGACGGAGGTGTCCTAGATGCACCTCCATGGCCGTCTTGCCTCCCTCGGCATGGCTATGGACGAAGATGTCGTCGAAGTACGTTTGTACGAAGGTACGCAATGGGCGGAACAATTGCGTCACCAGACGATTGAATGTCGCCGGGGCGTTAGACAAGCCCTGCGGCATGACGAGCCACTTCCAAAGCATGCCGCTTAGGGTGCTCACCGCGGTGAGCGGGATGTCGCTCTCTCGCATCAGGATCTGGTAGTATCCGTCTACCAAATCCAGCGCACTGTATAGTACTCTCCTGTCCATGTTGTTCAACAACACATCCTTTCGTGGGGGTGGTGTTTGGGCCGGCTCCGTTGCGTTGATCAGCTTGTTATAAGCGTGAACTAGACGCCACTTTCCGTTCGGCTTCCGAACGCAGGAAGTTGGCGTCGAGTGCGGAGACTTCGACTCCCGCACCATGCCTGCCTTCGCTTTCGCAGCGAAGAAGGCATCAATGACCTCGCACTGCTCGCGCGGAAGAGGCCACTGCCTCGTGACACAGTACTTTGTGCCAGGTACGAGATCAATCTCTTGCCGTACCCCTCGATCCGGTGGGAGTTGGGTGGGTGTTCGTTCACCACGTCCGCATACTCCGTCACCAAAGGATACACCGGATCCTTGGGGTTCTTAAGAATCTCAGAGCCCAAGCGCGTCTGACGCTGCTTGTTCATGTCTTCCAGGACGTTCTCGTCCAGGACAGAGGAGGAGTTCAGCTCCTCCCGAGTGGTCTCAGGAGCACCATCTCGGCAACCTTTCCAGCCTTGAGATTGGCCAGGAAAAACTCGACCGTCACTTTCTCGAGGTTCAGTATCTCTGCGACCTCTGGCAACGGTTCCAAGTGGCCACTAGATGCCTTGACGGGTAAACCGGTCTCGCCATCGAAGATGTGATAACACTCTTCCACCGGCCTTGTCGGAGGAGCCCGGGTTCTGGGCTCCGAGTCGCGTGAAGCGACGTCGATCTGAACGAAGTTCAGATCCAACTTGTGGCGGCAGCGGCGTCGTCGTCGACGGCGACCGTGACGTGGAGCTTTGTAATTCACGTCTGGGGATGTCGGAGCGCCGACATCCGAGGCACTCGTGGCCTCGTGTGGTACTGTGGTACCCACACAGGAAGCGCACCCCGCGTCTTCCTCATCAGTTATGGTCTGGGTGACCTCGTGGCCCTGTGTTACCCACACAGGGCGTATCCGACATCTTCCTCTTCAGTTAAGGTCTGGGCGACCGTGTGTGGAACTCTGTTACCCACCCTGAGCACACTATTGTCAGTGTTCGTGACAGCTGCAGCTGTCTGCGGAACTAAGTTACCCGCTTGTGGACCTAAGTTACCCACTTGGCCAGCGCCTTCTCTGGGCGCTGCTACCATCCAAACATCCTCGGAGTCGTCATATACGTCGCCGACCCCCTAGCATCTGCCGGATGCTTCGGTACCCTGGCAACCCTTGCGGGCGCCCCGGGTCCTGACAGAGGTGGGAACATGACTCACCAATGCTCTGTCGGACTGCGCAGGGCGGCTGACACCGATTGCCTTGCCTCGCCAGTCGATCCAGGGCTCGTGCTTCTCAAGCCAGGGCATGCCCAGGATCATATTGTAAGGATCTATGTCGAGAACCGTCAACTGCTCGAGGCTGTCAAAGTCTTCAAACTTTACGGCCAGATCCACTTGGACGTTGGGGACAGTGACGACCTTCCCATCGGCCAGTCGTACTGACACCGTCCCGTTGCCCTTGCTTTCTCTCAAAGCGTCGGACAGCTTGTTGCTATTACGAGCAGCTGTCTGGCGGCGTGCGAAATTCTTCGACGCCCCAGAATCGATCAAGATTCTAAAGGGATGATCGTATCCCCGTCCACATCCGTGTACTACGAGCAACCCGCCACTGCTGTTTGTCGATTCGAGAGTGCGAAGATTCTCAGGGGCTAAGTCCCCGTGGTACGCACCACCTGCGCACCCTTCACGAAGACTTAGTTCTTCCCCAGTAGGGTGCCCCGCCCCTACTGGTTTCCGGCGTTCCCCTGTCCCCGGGATCCTGGCTTCTGCCAGCGACACTTAAGGACGGGCTTGGGGAAAGACCGTCTGCGGAGTCTTTCCGCGGGACAGTCGCGCTTGAAGTGGCCCATCTTCCCGCAGCCGAAGCAGCGGATGTCACGATGTTCGGCGGACCCGAGCTCCATGAGAACTAGTCCGTTGGGGCTCGTTCGACCGGGAGTCGACATGGAACTTTCAGGCCACGCTGAGGCCGGCGTACGCGCCTGGCGATGGATGTACTCTTCCTGAAGAGCCACTTGAATTGCCTCCTCAAGGGTGTTTGACTGCACCCGTAACAGCTGAGTGCTCTCGGGGCCCACTCGAAAACCGTCCGTGAACACAGTCATCTTGATGTGTTCGTTGAGTGGGTTTCCCACTAGGGACGCCGTGAGCTCCCGTATATCTTGCACGTACTCGTGCAGCTCACGCCTCCCTTGTTTACACGAGAGGAAGCGCGAACGCTGGCGGTACTCGTAGTTCGCCGGGAGGAACGCGGCTCGGAGCTGTTCACACAGCTGAGCCCAGGATGTGAAACATCCAGGGGATGTTGCTTCCCGTGTGTACACCCAACTCTTAGCACGGCCGCTAAGGCTGGAGAGTGCAAAAGCAACACGAAGTTGCTCGGTCGAGATCAGAGCCGCGTCCATCGCGAGCTCTACTTCTTGGACCCAGAAGTGAAGGTTCTCACCTTCCATCCCTTCATACGGCTTAACCTTCAGCCGTATTGGCTTTGGGTGAGGCGGATTCGCTTCCGCCACTGAAACCTGCAGGTTCTCCCGCACATGCGCGATGAGCCCCTGCTCGTACGCGTCAAACGCTTTGACGCGCTCGAGCTGCTCAGCCGGTGTTGACACCACCAGGCTCTGCGGGGCCTCCAACCCGAAGATGCCTGCCATCTTCCGAACCGAGTCGAACTGTGAGTCGTTCATATGGGCAAGGTCGTTCCTATCCATGGCAACGAACTTCGGAGAGGTTCAGGTAGTCTACCCGCGGTGGCGTGGATTGACTACGAGTGCTACCAAGTGTGACGGGGTCCCACAGCACCTTGCGCTAGAGGAAGTTAGCTTCCGAGAGTATACAAACTCTCAGTGAACGGCAGCTCACAGGTCCCCTATTATTGAAAGGGAGCGAGGTGACCTATTTAAGGTAGAATGTAAACTGAGTATATTTATAGGTAGATTAAGCTTGGGTTAATACAAACTATAAGTCACCTATAAAAAAGCAATGTCATCAGCCATGGTTGGCTTTGGACGACCTTGGTACCTTGTACCAAATATCCCGAAGTATGACGTGTCACACTTCATGTAACTAGGGGTACCCTTATGGCTACGTACCCCGTTACAGTCCTCAAGTTCCAAATTTCGGAAAGCACATATCTCCTTGCAGCTCCTATCGCGGCTATAAAATGCGTCCTGAAGCCCTGATCCGTTCATAAGTGAGGCGCCCACCAACACTTACAGTTTCCTTCCGAATAGAAAGACTTTTTTTTGTTGCAGGAACACGCGCCAACCTTATTTCGCTTCATCTTCGTTCCAACTGAGGTAATACTGTGCTCAGCCCAAACAGTTTTTGGTACAAATCATGGGATTGGACGGCATGCGTGCTGAGCTTTTCTTTAATGTATTTGTTTAGCTACATGTACAGCTTTTGTTTGGGGCTTCTAATACTATGATAATGGCAGTCTAGGGCCAATCATCTTAATTGTATTGGTTTTGGTAATACCGAAAAATGAGGGATAAACCATTAATTCCACTTTAAAAGAATTCAGAGCTGTTTTGGGCAAGGATACCGGTAACAATGACGAAACGATTTCTCGAGGGTGTTTCCCAGTGTGAAATTCCCACCCCTATTACAAAATAAGTACGATTGTGCGGTCGTGACTCGCCCCCAATTCTGTACTGTACTTTAGAGATTGCACTAGAGTTTTGACAAACATTTCATATTGCTTCCGGTTGCTGCGTACTGCTACCAAACTGAAGCTGCGCTCTGTCAGTTCAAGTATTAATAATGCTAATAGCACTCATGTTCCTGATGTGTATTGCATCAGCTTGAGTCATTAAGTCAAAGATTCAACGTTTGACGAGCCGTCTCACAGCACATCATTGGGATAAACGACGATGTCGTCTGTTGATGTACCGGTACCATTAGGTACAATTCCATACTTTTGAAAATTACCGGTATTAAACTTTAATAATCAAAAGACTTGATAATGCTGAACGTGTCTTTGCTTATGCTTGATATCGAATACTCCAACGCGACCAGAGCGAGATGCTAACGTAGTAGAAGCAATTTCTAAACATGTATCATGGCATTCAGACAGTGTACTTCTACCTACATAGTACTGTACCTTCCGACAGGAGGTGGTACATATGTAACAGGCACCTGGATTACTATACTGGTACTCAGTAGTCATAGATGACTGGCTGAAATTGAAATGAGCCAATAAACCATAGCAGCTCTATTGATTACGGTATTCCTGTGCGCTAAGTTGACTGGCGGCACACTCCAAGTGGTGCAACTATAACAGAAGAATGCGCGTCACTACACTGCTTCTTTGGACAGCTCCCCTTGCTGGTCTCGAAGTCTCGGTAGCAGCGAAGTCCGTGCATGTTTCTCCTGACCCAAGCCACACGTCAATCGCGAGGCTGCTACGGAGCAACACACAATCAGACGAAGAGGCAAGGCTCGCTATAAACTTCTCTGGCGCTAATAAACTTTTAGCGCCAGTAAAATGGACCGGGTCCAAGATCAAGGGAGCTGTAAAAGCCGAGACGTTGCGTCTTCAAGGCAAAACGGCCGACGAAGCCTTCGCGTTACTCAAACTTGACCAAGCCGGTGACAAACTTTTGGATCACAAACAGTTCAGCAAATGGGTCTCCTTTATGAAAAAGAGCACCAAGCAATACCCTCAAGTCGAGATGGTAAAAACGTTGACAACAAAGTACAGTGACGACGCCTTGGTAAAGATGCTGGAAGCTGGCAAGCAAGTGAAAGCCACGAATAAAATATCGAGAGAACTTCAGTTTATCCAGATGACAGGTTGGATGCAGCAGGGAAAATCTATGGGCGACGTCATCAAGCTGCTAAAGCTCGGTGGCGGTATGGACAAGCTCCTTGTGAACCCGAATTTACCTATCTTGGAGACGTACATTCACGTATTTAACAAGTTCAACGCTGGGAGACAGACGAGCGTGATAAAGGAACTGATGGGGTTCCACACAGAAAAAGTCGTCTCGACAGCGCTCCAAGCGGCGAAGAAATCTCCGGAAACAAACGCAATAGCAACCAAGCTGCAAGCGGCACAGTTTAGATATTGGTTTGACAATAAAGTGAAGCCACCCAAGATCTTTGGAATGCTGGACATGAAGAAATCAACGTGAACGACGAACCCAGATGCGCAAGTTTGGCGCGATTATAATGCGTTCTACTGGCTTGAAGTGAAGAAAATCGCTGCGGCGGCGAAGTCTTGATTTGTGCAGCATTGGAGATTTTACGCCGCTTTCACGCTCTGAACGACTGTACAATATTGTTTAGAAAGGAATGCGTACAGTACCGCAACAACCTGTGAGATGCTATCCTGCTACTGTGAGATGCTACTTGCTACGGTCTGCCAGTGTCCAGTGCCAGACGTCATTGCCACAGCCCAAGACACTGGCAATACCAGTACTACCGATCCAACCTACAATCCTACGCGTGTCTATGCATGTACTGCATCCCGGCGTACCGGTCTGCAACGCGCTCACGTGCGAGCGGCGTGCGGAAGATACCAAGGACTGTATGAAGGACGACATTGGTGGCGGTGAGCAACTGCAACTGCGTTGCAGGTGATGGTGAACTACTTAGCTTTCTATAGACTATCTTAGACTGAGTATGTGCTAATCTAACTTTGCGGAACATGGAGGTTCAGGTGCTGGCAGCTCTCACTCTCACAACTGCTTTTGCTGTGCTGCGTGCACAACGAGTGAGAGGCAGCAAGCACCAGAACTCCGTGGTCCTGTCGTGGTACTTTGCCCGGCACTCACGTGTCTTACATTCTATTCCTACTTGCTCTACACCTACTGCCCTACAAGTCTGTGCTTATGGCACCTACGTTACGTAGTGATAGAAGGTCGGAGAGCCCGGTGACGCGCCGTGCGTCATCTCAGGTTATGAGCCCAATTAGGGCGCAGCGCTCGACTGACGTGGACTCTGGTGTTGAAAACACACAAGAAGAAGTTTTGACGAATCAAGGAGGAGATTCCCCGGGACTGGTCGAAAGACTGAATGGCCCGGATGATGCGACATTATCGCAATCTGATGCTGAGCGACTAATTCGCTCATTGGTCGGAATTACTGGTGGGCGACCGTTGCTTCGAGTGTTACTCGAAGGTATGCAGAATTCGAACACAATCGAAGAAACGGGGCCAGTTGAAAAATTCGCCCCCTTAGCCTCCACAAGGATCGGTTGGCAGTGGACGAAGCTACACGAGCCGAGGAGAGAGCAGCCTGGACAACATGAACCCCGGTGGTCGGTACGACGACAAGGAGCTGTCCGACCACACCAAGGCGTTGGGCAACTCCGCAAGCATTGTGTTGCCTAAGCTTCACAAGAAAGAAGACTACAAAGCGTGGCGAAGCGAGGTGCCGTTGCACTTCGAGACGCGCTCGCTAGGCGACATTACGTATGGAGGAGGGCGATATGACGAAGAGGAAGGTCTACGTCGCCCTAAGTATCATGAGTGGTATGCGACGCGAAAGACCAAGGCGTTCTCCGCGTTGGCCCTATCTCTATCTGTGGACTTACGCATTACGTTCAAGATCGATGAGATAAGAGACAACATGGACGCGGCAGCAATGCTGTATTCAACGATTACCAAACACTTTGAGGCTGGAGACGGCATCAACCCTGACTACTTGCTACAGGACTTGGTGACTCGCCGATTACAACCGAACGAGTCCGTTACTGCGTACGTGGAGAACATCGGACGAAAGGTGACACTCCTGCGTCAAGGAAATGGTGAATTTGAAGAATGGCAACATGCAAGCCTACTTCTATCAAACTGCGTGTTGGTATTTCGAGATCTCGCGCGTGAACACGCAGACTGAATCAACCAACACGACCGACGTGGCCTAAAGCTGTCCGAGGTATTGCAGCGCCTGCGTTCTGCTGAACATCAGCGTGATCAGCTGCAACAGCAGACGAACCGGCCTACAACGCGGACAATGCAAGTCGCGCAGGTTGGTACTGGCCAAGGACAAGGACGAGGACAAGGTCAAGGCTACGGACATGGACACAACAGTGGAAGTGGACGTGAGTCTGGAAAGAAACGTGGGAAGAACCAGCGCAAGAAGGCAAAGGTTGCAGCTGAGAAGAAGCAGCACACAGCCTGTGCTAACTGCAATGGAGATGGTCACTGGTATGCAGAATGCACTGCGCAGACTGGCATGCAACTGAGACCAGACCTGGCCAAGAGACTTAAGAACAAGTTGAAGTACAAGAAGTCGCCAGCTTCCCTCATCAACTCGGTGAGACGAGTTGAAGTTGCCCAGTCTGACAGTGAGCAACGAGCCCTATTCTCGGGTCTCTCGTTGTGTGCGACGACACGACTGGCGAATAACGATGGGAACAACGATGGTGTGGCGACGGCTGCACACATGTCTCCCGTGTATTCGGTGACAACACCTGCGAGCAGTGAGGCTGAAGATGAGAATCTGGCTGAAGAGGTGAAGACGTCGGCAGTCGGACTCGAGTCCAAGTGTACACCTGCAGTACACTCGAACGTGCCAACGACACCGCAACAACTGCAACTGAGAGTTCCTGCTAACCATATGCAAGGTAGAGAGCAAGAACAAAAGGATGGACAAGTGCATACAGGACACCAAGAGGTGCAACTTGCTGTACCAGCGGCGATGAATAGCCAGTGGGAGAGTGGCTAATCGCTTGGTCCACCTCCTGCTTTGGGAACTGCACTATACTATCTGGGTCAAGGACTGATGCAGAGCTCGCAAGGACCTGGATCTGAGCTTTGGTACACCAAAGGTGGACCACAAGTGGGTCCACCTGTGCCGGGGGATGATCATTGTGGACCTAATGTTGAGCGACGCGGACGCCAAGGACCCGAGCAAGATTACGGGCGAGGATATCAGTCCAACATGAGTCCTTATGAGCTAGGACGCAGTGGATTTATACCAGGACGAGCTGACTCACTACAACTACAAGGATGGAACTACTCACCTCCGCGGAACTTCCATAGAGGAAGATCACCGCAACGTGGAAGGAGCCGCTCACCTCCGCGGAACTTTTAAAGAGGAAGATCACCGCAACGTGGAAGGAGCCGCTCACCTCCTCGGGACTTCCAACGAGGAAGGTCGCCGCAACGTAGATGGAGTCGCTCACCGCCCCGAAACCTGCAACAAGGAAGACCACCGCAGTCTGGAAGAAGTCGTTCACCGAGAGGAAGATCACTGCAGCGTGGGCGTTCGCCATTGCGTTGGCGTTCGCCACCTCGTGGTCGTAATTGGTCTGCTCGTCGTGAGCCACGAGCGAACAACCAGCCGCCAAGTCATTATGGACCCCAGCCGCAAGAGCCGTGGCGTAGTGGACCATCACCCGCGCGTGGACCACTACTGAATGATTGCATTCGTCGAAATGATCTTCAACGTCGGAACTTGTCGCCAAGTCATCGTGGAAACTCGCCTAGACACTGCGAAAATCGTGGGAATGTTGGTATCGGTGGAATTCGACAGGTGAATGCTATTGGTCGAAACCAAGGAAAGCAGTCTGATGACTCAGATTGGGTGGAGTGGATTTTGGACTCTGGCTCTCAGGCGAATGTCTGTGGAGACTTGTCTCTATTTACTACCATTCGAGAAGATCGCACCAGTCGGCTTGACTTTGCCAACGGAACATCGGAACATGCAACTATGTGTGGTTCTGTCTTGCTACGCATTGTAAACCAAACAACTGGTGAACAAGAAGATCGCCTCCTTGAGGACGTGGTCTACACTCCTAATGCAAAGGTGAACATTATCAGCCTCGGTCACTTGCAGACGGCTGGGAAGTACAAGCTGCTGTGCTCAGATGATCAGCAGTCAGCTTGGCTCTCAAAGCCAGGTACTTCGTTGAAGTTATCATGAGAGACAATATCTACCGATTGAAGGCAGAGCGAGTGTCAGGAGTGATGGTGATGGCAGCACGCAAACAAGACATGGACAGCAGAAAGACGATGGAGTTACTGCACCAACGGTTCGCTCACATGAGTATGGACACTGTGAGAGAGCTGTCGAGTAAGCTCGATGTCGGAGTAAAGATTAATGCACAAGGTCTGAGCTCCTACGAGTGTGTTGCGTGTGCTGCTAGCAAGACTAAACGGATGACTTATGCAAGGATTCCTGAACGGAAGTCTGAACCGCTCGAGATGTTGATGATGGACATATGCACGATGAATGAACCGACGGAAGGTGGTGCAACTATGTTCCTGCTAAGCATTGATGAAGCTACTCGCTTCAAGTGGGCGTATCTACTCGAACGAAAGAGTGCGGCTACACTGTACGTCAAGATGTTGCTACATCAACTTCGGACTCAGTTTCCCAAGCTCACTGTTCGGAGACTGCACTCTGATCAGGGTGGTGAATTCACCAGTAATGCGCTGAGAGATTACTGCAATGAGCATGGGATTGTGCAGCAGTTCACGAATGCTTACTCTCCTCAGGAGAATGGTGTAGTGGAGCGAGCGAATGGCACTGTACTGCCTCGCATCCGTGCTATGCTAACCGCTACACATCTTCCTAACATGCTATGGGGAGAAGCACTTCTACACATTGTTACGACACTGAATTGGCTACCAACTAAACCGCTAGGACTGGTCTCGCCATACAAGAAGCTGTACAGTGTGACACCCGATGTGGATGAGCTTCGGACTTGGGGATGTGTGGCACACGTGCGTGTCCCTCCTGAGTCCAGACAAAAGAAGGAAAAATTGGAGCCGAGAGCACGAATATCTCTATTACTTGGTTATAGTCATGATACCAAGGGCTACAAATTTCTGGATTTGAAGACAGCTCAAGTCGTGACTGCACGTGGACGAAAAACGCGATTTCACGAGGAGTTTACAAGTGACGGCACACACGTATAGCAACTCCTAGAGAACGCATATCACGATGGTGATCATCAGTTGCCCGATAGTGTTCCGGTGGCACGCATCAAGACTAGTATGGAGACGTAGCTGCCTGGTTGGAGCTCTGAGTCTTCGAATGTGACGAAGCAGCTCGAGATGGTGCCGATAGCTGATGACCTGCAGGACAAAGAGCATGAGTCCAGTGGGAGTGCGAAAGACGACTTACCTGAGGAACAAAGAGTAGAGTCGCCAGCCGGTGTAGATGCACCAGTTGAAGTTGCTGC